GCACTGCAGGAGGCCCAGGATGGACATGTCGTCTGAGGAATGGGAGGGGGAGTTGAAATGGTTTGCGACTGGGAGGTGCAGTTGTTTAGTGCGAACCGAGCATAGGTGTTCTGCAAAGCGATCCCCAAGCCTCCACTTGGTTTCCCCAATGTAGATGAGGCCACAACGGGAACAGCAGATACAGTATACCACATTAGCAGATGTGCAAGTGAACATGGGGGGCCTGGGATGGGGGTGAGGGGGGAGACGTAGGGGCAGGTGTAGCACTTCCTGCGGTTGCAGGGAAAAGTGCCGGGTGTGGTGGGGAGTGTGGAGCGGACAAGGGAGTCATGGAGAGAGTGGTCCCTCCGGAAAGCGGATAAGGGTGGGGAGGGAAAAATGTCTTTGGTTGTGAGGTCGGATTGCAGATGGAGGAAGTGTCCCGCCCTCTTGACCTGTCCGTCCTCCCTGAACTGACCTATCTCCTCCCTAACTCCCCACCTACACTCACCTTTACTGGCTCCATCCCCGCCTCTTTGATCTGTCTGTCTCCTCTCCACCTATCTTCTCCTCTATCCATCTTCTATCCGCCTCCCCCTCTCTCCCTATTTATTTCAGAACCCCCTTCCCCTCCCCCATTTCTGAAGAAGGGCATAGGCCCGAAACGTCAGCCTTCCTGCTCCTCTGGTCAATAAACACTGGTCTTGATTGCAAAGCCCACATCCTGCCATTTTATCGAAAACATGTATTGCTGTCTGGTTACCTCGGCAACCTCTCTGCTGTGACCACAGGATCTCTTATCCTCAATGATTACGGGTCAGACCAAAGAAACACTTGCATTCTCTCACATCAAACAAAACTGCAGGGCATCCCAAAGTGCTTCAAAGCCTATGAACTACTTTCGGAATGTACTCACAAATGTAATGTGGCAAATGAAGAAGCCAATTTGGACAAAGCAAGATCCCACGAACTGAAATCTATTAATGGTCAGTAAGAAATGCTGACTGAGGACACTGTAGAGAACTTTGTGATTTTTCTTCAAAATAACAAGTGTTTTGGGATCCTCTCATCCACCTAGGTCACGAAGAGAGAACGGGACTGAGTTTTCCAGTATCTGGGCCGCTTATGTCTTGAGCAATCCAAGTAAAAAGCAATATTTGTGGGATCTTACTCTGTGCATCATGTGGATGATTTGACTGCACTTCAAACTAGTCCTAAGTTTGTTCTGGGAAATCTGATGAAGCAAAAGGAAATGCAAAAACAGAGCTCTGTTGCCTCAGCAAATGTCATAAAATACTGTACAAGGCATTTCAATCAATACTGCTTAACTACAAAACCTTCCAATGCTAGGGCAGCTGCACAGCCCGTGCTTTACCAAAAGTATTTATCACTCTTTACACAGGGAGTAGTGAATCTCAAACTCAGAGGGTCATGGAGATTTAGGTCGTCGAGTATATTCAAGGTAAAGGTTGACAGATTTCTGATGTGACAAGCACAAAGGGACATGGGAATAGAGTAGGAAATTGGTGCTGAGTCAAATGGTTAGCCATGATCTGACTGAAAAGCAGAACTCAAGAGGATGTGTACCCTACCCTGCTCCTTTTCCTTATGTTCCTATGTGTAAATAAACCTCCTACTAATGTATGATTGGAGAAATGGGTCTAACTGTTATCCAAAATTACATCTTGTGATTAGTGTATAAATTAATTCCTATGGGTGTAGAAGTAAATTCAAGTTAATTTTAATCCTAGCTCTCCATCTGGGCCAAGTTTTCTGAAGAACAGTCCCAACCAAAACATCAACTTTCCTGCTCCTCTGATGCTGCCTGGCCTGCTGTGTTCCTCCAGTGCCACACTGTGTTATCTTCAAGTTAAAATATAGCTGTTCACACACTGGAGTACTGTGTCACAATACTTGCAACACTTAAACCATTTTTATCAATTAAAATCTTTTCATTTTGAATAAGCATGAAATTATTTCATTCACAAAGAGGATTCCTTTGAAACACTTGTAACACAGAACTCCACACCTCCAAATCATTTCAAACCTGTTAATACAAGTTTATGCGGAATATAAATAAACAATCTGTTCCCACAAGACTGTAAGACATTGCAATTTTTAATGTACCACTTGTAGGCATTATCCCCTCTTTAAATGCAAACACCACCCACATGAATGCTCCCCACCCAGGCAGATTCTTACCTGTGTTCTGTGAGCACATTGACAGCGGATGGGTGGTTGGCACAGTATGTGAGATATAGTGACTTCATCTGAGGCATGAGATTAAGAAAGCAACCACCAACTTTCTGCTGGGAATCTGGTAACCTGAGAATCAAATAATTTACAAGTTACATAATAAGCGCATAATCCAGTATGACGTGCCCAGCGCCGAGGGAGCGCTGCGCCGTCGGAGGGCCGGCCCCGAGGGAGCGCCGCGCCATCGGAGGCACATTCTCTCATCTGCAACATCAAACTGAGTCCTCTTCTCCCCTATTGGGCAGCGGTGACTGGTCCAATGGTATTAATTCTCAGCTGAGCAGAAAGCACTCGTGCCAGTGGCCAATATTTATCTTAAAACAGCATGAAACTTTTAAGTACTCACTCTTCTCACTACTGCCTGTGGTATTGTGCTGCATGCAATCTAGTTGCTGTACTTCCAACATTATTACCTCAAAGAGATAGTAAGAACTTCTGATGCTGGGGTCAGAGATAACAGCGTGGAGCTGGAGGAACAGGAAAGCTGACATTTTGGGTCGGGACCCTTCTTCAGAAAATCAAAAATGTAACCCGGCCCGAAACATCAGCTTTCCTGCTCCTCTGATGCTGCCTGGCCTGCTGTGTTCATCCAGCTCCACACTGTTATTTCTTATCATTACCTCAAAGGTAAGTTGTTACTGGAAAGCTGTCGGGTGGCCTCAGCTCACTTACTGACCACCCTTTGGAGAGTAATTCTGACAGGTTTCTATCCGAATTAGTGCCCTCAGTGGTCTCCGAGACTTCCTGGTCATCTCTCCTCGTCGATTTCTGCTCGGGCCGACATTAATAAATAGTGTTCTGATGGTTACAGTCAACCAATGGGAGACAGCCCCTTGTGGAAACACACTGTGAATACATCACATCTGGAATTTTCTGTTTGTGTGACCTTAGTGCAACGTTTATCTAAACCATCAGCAGCTGGCTCTTGCTAAAGGGTCACTCTCCACAGCTAACCTGTTCCATCGAAGCAACTTGCATGAACAAATCTTTATGAACGGCTCTGCCTACCTACTTTGTAGCAAAGACAGCAGTCACTGTGCACACAGTCTTATCCCAAGAGCAAGAAGTCACTGTCGCTTAGAAAAACAGGAAGAATAAGTTACGGACAGCAATTCAGGCTACAGCTTTGCAAACAGCTGATGGAATATCACATTTTATCACATAGCTCTGAGGAAGGCCCCTCCGTCTCTCCACAGAGGCTGTCAGACCTGCTGAGTATCTCCAACATTTTCTGTTTTCATCTCCAAACTCCAGTATCCACAGTATGTTTTGCTTTTGTACTTAACCCAGTGACTGTGATTGAGGGAGAAGAGTTGACTTTGATGCTAAAACCCCATCCAAGTCACTGCAGCGGGCCCCTCACTGTAATGCTGCCTATGAGAAATATGCACCTTTTTACAGTGCAGCATATGCCTGATATCAGCTCATCTCCAGAGGCAAAATAACCTTGCAACCATTCAGTTGATATTTTGATAGGAGTGTTTACAACCATGAGGGATTCGATTGAATAAATAAGGAGAAACTGCAAGAGGGTCAGCAATCACAGGGACACTGATTGTAAATGAGTACTCCTGTCAATAACTGCCTCTTTATAAACTCTCAAACATCGATTCTCTTTCACACATGACAATATCTTCCATTCTCTGTTCTTAACTCTGAACACCCATCACAATATTCACTACTCATTCACCAACAGTTCACAACTGGCTTTGACTACCATCTGTTCTTCTGTGCTTTCTCCTGAAATAGCCTGCCGTCTGCCTTACGGGAAGGAAAAATAAATGTTTTCGGAAGACTGTGTCTCAGAAAACACAGTCAACTACTTTGAGCTTGTCATTAACTGTTTCAGCAGAAACACACAACAATTTAACCTGTGGAACTGCTCAAAGTGGCCACAGATAGCTATCAGCACCTTCACCTCTTCCCTCCATCTGTTAACCTTCTTCATCACTCAGGACACTAGCAATTTCCTGGGCCATTGGTCACCACATGGCGAGCCCTCTCATAAGATGCAGCTTTTACTGGTTTGCAAATCTTTACCGTCAACACCAATGGGATAGTGAACCAAGGGTTGACTCACAAGCCAGCTAGATTCTACCTTGACCAACATTCAGTCGGGGTCACTGAAAACCAGCCATTCAATGGTACAGCTTGATCCTGACTCAACAGGATTGTGGCTGATCTGACACTAAACAAAGGACTGTTTCTGATTTCCAGAATCTGTAATCAGAAATTGCTGGAAAAACTCAGCAGGTCTGGCACCATCTGTGGAGAGAAATCAGAGTTAACGTTTTACATCTGAACTGAAGTTCTGAAGAAAGGTCACTGGACCCAAAACGTTAACTCTGTCAGACCTGCTAAGTTTTTCCAGCAATTTCTGATTTTGGTTATGGCTGATCTGACATTCTTCACATTCCACTTTCCTGCATTATCCGTGTTACTCAACTTCCCCAGCTGATCAAGAATCTAAAATCTTAAATACACACATCGGACTCTGCCCTGACAGCTCTCTGTGGTAACGAGTTCCAAAGACTCATAACCCTCTGAGAGAAGAAATTCCTCCTCATCTCACTCTTAAATTAGCAGCCCTTTATTCTGCCCCAGAGGGAGTGGGAATCTGGAAATCACCCACTGTAAGGGTGGACAAGGCAGAAGCCCTCATGACACGTGAGAAGTATTTAGGTGTGTACTTGTGATGCCAAGGCAGACAAGGCAATGGGTCAACTGCTGGAAAATGGGATTAGAATAGTTAGGTGGATGCTTCTGATTGATGAGGATTCGATGGGCTGAAGGACCTCTTTCTGTGCTGACCTCTATGACTCTAGTATTCATGATTATTTGGAAAAGCACAGTTTGATTAAAAATAGTCAGCATGGCTTTGAGAGGGGCAGGTCATGCCCCACAAGTCTTATTGAATTCTTTGAAGATGTGACAAAACACATCCATGAAGGTAGAGCAGTGGATGTGGTGTATATGGATTTTAGCAAGGCATTCCATAAGGTAGGCTCATTCAGAAAGTAAGGAGGGATGGGATTCAGAGAAATTTGGCTGTCTGGATACAAAACTGGCTGTCCAGTAGAAGACAGAGGGTGGTAGTAGATGGAAAGTATTCAGCCTGGAGCTCGGTGACCAGTGGTGTTCCGCAGGGATCTGTTCTGGGACCTCTGCTCTTTGTGATCTTTATAAATGACTTGGATGAGGAAGTGGAAGGGTGGGTTAGTAAGTTTGCCAATGACACGAAGGTTGGTGGAGTTGTGGACAGCGTGAAGGGCTGTTGTAGGTTGCAACAGGACATTGACAGGATGCAGAGCTGGGCAAAGAAGTGGCAGATGGAATTCAACCCAGAAAAGTGTGAAAGGATTCATTTTGGAAGGTCGAATTTGAATGCAGAATACAGGGCTAATGGCAGGAATCTCGGCAGTATGAAGGAACAGAGGGATCTTGGGGTCCATGTCCATAGATCCCTCAAAGTTGCGACCCAAGTTGATAGGGTTGTAAAGAAGGCGTATGGCATGTTGGTTTTCATTGGCAGGGGAAATGAGTTTAAGAGCCGTGAGGTTACGCTGCAGCTCTATAAAACTCTGGTTAGACCACACTTGGAATATTGTGTTCAGTTCTGGTCACCTCATTATAGAAAAGATGTGGAAGCTTCAGAGAGGGTGCAGAGGAGATTTACCAGGATGCTACCAAGACTGGAAGGCAGGTCTTAGGAGGAAAGGTTGAGGGAGCTAGGGCTCTTTTCATTGGAGCGAAGGAGGATGAGAGGTGACTTGATAGAGGTTTACAAGATGATGAGAGGCATAGATAGAGTGGATAGCCAGAGATTTTTCCCCAGGGCGGAAATGACTTTAAGGAGGGGGCATAATTTTAAGGTGATTGGAGGAAAGTATAGGGGAGATGTCAGAGGTAGGTTCTTCACACAGAGAGTGGTGGGCATGTGGAATGCGCTGCCAGCAGTGGTAGTGGAGTCAGATACATTAGGGACAATTAAGCGACTCTTGGATAGGCACATGGAGGATAGTAAAATGTAGGGTATGCAGGGTAGATTGATCTTAGTAGGATAATAGGTCAGCACAACATCGTGGGCCAAAGGCCCTGTACTGTGCTGTACTGTTCCATGTTCCATGGTCTACATTCTACTAAAACCAGCACCACGTCAGAGTCTATTCGAGACTCATAAAGACAGACTGGTCATTGATTAGTTAACAGCCCCGTTCTCAGTGCATCATAGGGCCACAAAGGACAAGAGAAAGTAAATCAGTAGGAGCTGGTCCTTCAATCTCAGTTTCACAGAACAGTTTTATAAACAACTCTCCAATGACATTGTTTTATCAATTGTACAAATTCAGTGCTAACAGATTCTCTGGGTGCATGTGCACACTGCAAACTGCCCAGGTACTGCTCCAGGGATTGGATGACCAGGTTGTTGGAGAAAAGCGATTTAGTTTTGGAATTTCTCACAGTCAGACAGAGCAAAACACCCAAACACAGGAAGAGGAACATCAGCCCTAATCCAAAAAGTGGACATAGATGCAAATTAGTAAAAGCCACCAAAAATTCAATGGTATTGGAAGGGCTAGACACTACAAATGATCTGTTGACCTACTTTGTACATTCCTCCAAAGTCTGGTAGAGGGTTTGCTGAAATGAGCAGATTTCCTCCAGATTCCCTTTCAATGCCCCAATATCAGCAGCAGATAATCTGGAAACAAAACAAAGAAACATGAAGAGGAGAATAACTAGTCATGCAGCAACAATCATTTAATTTACTTTAATAAAGCTGGGATTTCAATCAAAGAGCAGAACCAGGCATACCTAAACATGAGGTGTCACCCAGGTGAAGCTACCAAACAGGACTACTTACACGCTAAACAGTATAAGCTGCAAGTGATAGACAGAGCTGAGCGATCCCACAACCAATAGATCAGAACTAAGCTCTGCAGTCCTGCAACATCCAGTTGTGAATGGTGGTGGACAATTAAACATCTCACTGGAGAAAGCTGAACAAATATCCCCATCCTCAATGATGGAAGAGCCCAGCACATCAGAGCAAAAAATAAGGTTGAAGTATTCGCAGCAATCTTCAGCCAGAAGTGCCGAGTAGATGATCCATCTCGGCCTCCTCCAGAGGTCCCCAGCATTACAGATACCAGTCTTCAGCCAATTCGATTCACTCCATGTAATATCAAGAAATGGTTGGAGACACTTGATACTGCAAAGGCTACAGGCCCTGACAACATTCCTGCAACAGTACTGAAGACTTGTGCTCCAGAACTTGCCGCTCCCCTATCCAAGCTGTTCCAGTACAGTTACAACAATGAAAATTGCCCAGATATGTCCTGTGCATAAAAAGCAGGACAAATCCAACCCAGCCAATTACCGCCCCATCAGTCTCCTCTCAATCATCACTAAAATGATGGAAGGTGTCATCAACAGTGCTATCAAGCAGCACCTGCTCAGAAATAACCTGCTCAGTGACGCCCAGTTTGGGTTCCGCCAGGGCCACTCAGCTCCTGACCTCATTACAGCCTTGGCCCAAACATGGATAAAGTTAGAGTGATAGCCCTAGCCATGACGGCTGCATTTTGTTGAGTCTGATAATCAACCCTATCAAAACTGGAGTCAATGGGAACCTTCAGGCTAGCTCAGGAGCTCCTGTGCAACCCAATTTTAGCCACAAACACGCTCCTTGTCAACAAATGAAAACGGAGCGATGCAGTAAATATGCAAAAAATGTCTTCGTTTTTCAAACTGTCCACACCTTACAATGGCCTGAACTTGCGTGTTAAAGATCAAAAAATATTGGGAGTTAGCCCTGGATAAAGTCAGCAATGCTTTTCTGCTTGACATGATGTCTTTGGAAAAGAGTGATACAGTGCTCCATATCGTCAATGCAATCAATCAGCTTTTCCACCATTTCCGTGCTGCAGTGTGAAGACCCAGAGCACCTCATCAGTCTTTGCAGCTTCAAACAGAGAATCAGGCAGATGAGGGGGCAGCCATTCACTCTGCAGGGGCATCAGCCTCCTCAGCCTTATTTAAAGGCTTCATAGAGAGATCACGTAGCATGGCATGGCTCTGCTCTGAAGGGTTGGCATGGACACCATGGTCACATACCAAGCTGGCACAGCTTTAGCTAATCTGGAGGTACCAGTCTGGAAGATCATTTTATCACAGGCATCTTCAGTAGATTTCCTGTCCTGTCAGCATGGCCAGCAAGCTCAACACAATTTTGGGTTATCTGGTTTTGCTTCATCGCAATTTCACTGTAAAAGCACAGGTAAGGGGTGTAGTGGCAATGCCACTGAGCTAGTGATCCTGAACACTCGCTCGAATGTTCTGGGAACTCCATGGCAGATGAAGAAACTGAATCAACGAGAAGCTGGCCTAATGGTCTAACCAACTGCCGACTGTTGTGAAACAAAATGCACCTGGTTGACTAATGGGAAAGAAATCTGCTGTTTTTACCTGGTCTGGGCTCAATGTGTGACTCCAGACCCACAGTAGCATATTCACTCTTAACTGTCCTCTGAAATAGCCCAGAATGCCACCCTGTTGAAACGCAGAAAATAGGAACAGGCCATTCGGCCCACTGAGCCTGCTTCATCATTCAATATGATCATGGCAGATCATCTAACTCTATAGCCTATTCCCACATTTTCCCCCATTTCCTTTGATTTCTTCAGCCCCAGGTGCTGTATCCAACTCCCTCTTGAAATCAGGCGATGTTTTGGCTTCAATTGCTTTTTATTGTATTGAATTCCACAGGCTCACCACTCTCTGGGTAAAGAAATTTCATCCCATTTTCAAGGTCAATTAGGGACGGGCAATAAATACTCGGCTAGCCAGTAATGCTCACATCCCAGGAATAAAAAGGATACAGATGAGCTAAGGTGTGCGTTTTACTGTCAGGATGTGGGGGATCACTGGTGAGGCCAGTGCTGGTCATTCTGAGCTGCCATGAAAGAACAGCATTCATTTTACAGAGATAGTGGGAACTGCCGATGCTGGAGAATCTGAGACAACAAGGTGTACAGCTGGAGGAACTCAGCAGGCCAAGCAGCATCAGAGGAGCAGGAAAGCTGACGTTTATGGTCTGGACTCTTCTTCAGAAATGGGGGACGGAAAGGGGATTCTGAAATAAAGAGAGAAGGGGAGGTGGATGGAAGATGGATAAAGGAGCAGATAGGTGGAGAGGATTACAAGAGGGTTGCAGTGGAGAGTCTTGCTGTAACCAAGTTCTTGCTCAGCCACTAGAGGGCAGTTAAGAGCCAACTGCATTGCAGTTGGACTGGAATCTCATCCAAACCCAGGCTGGGCAAGAACAACAGACTGTCCTTCCTTATGGGGCATTAGTGAACCAATTGGGCTTTTAATAATAATCATCCAGCTGTATGACACTTTACCAGGATCAGATTTTAATTTCTAGAGTACACGCTGAATTGAAATTTTCAAACTGTCTATATGCTCAGGATTATTTATCCCTTGACATAACCAGGTCACAAGGTCCTGGGCCCAGGACATACTGATGAAATAGGAGCAGAACTGGGCTGCATTCTGAAGGAGCTCTGCAGCAGGAAAGTGCACAGGCTCATACGATAGGAGTCAAAATACCTGAAAGGAAGGGCATGAAATTAGAAAGTTGAAAGGGAAGTTTCTGAGGAAACTGCTCAGTTATTGCAACAAATACTCCAGAGGAACAGAGTGGGTTGAGAAAGAATGATAGAACATAGAACATAGAACATTACAGCGCAGTACAGGCCCTTCGGCCCTCAATGTTGTGCCGACCTGTGAAACCAATCTGAAGCCCATCTAACCTAAACTATTCCATTATCATCCATATGTTTATCCAATGACCATTTACATGCCCTTAGAGTGGGCGAGTCTACTATTTTTGCAAGCAGGGCATTCCACGCCCTTACTACTCTCTGAGTAAAGAACCTACCTCTGACATCTGTCCTATATCTATCACCCCTCAATTTAAAGCTATGTCCCCTCGTGCTAGCCATCACCATCCGAGGAAAAAGGCTCCCACTGTCCACCCTATCTAATCCTCTGATCATCTTGTATGTCTCTATCAAGTCACCTCTTAACCTTCTTCTCTCTAACGAAAACAGCCTCAAAACCCTCAGCCTTTCCTCATAAGACCTTCCCTCCATACCAGGCAACATCCTGGTAAATCTCCTCTGCATCCTTTCCAATGCTTCCACATCCTTCCTATAATGCGGTGACCAGAACTGTACACAATACTCCAAGTGCGGCCGCACCAGAGTTTTGTACAGCTGCAACATGACCTCATGGCTCCGAAACTCAATCCCTCTACCAATAAAACCTAACATACTGTACGCCTTCTTAACAACGCTATCAACCTGGGTGGTAACTTTCAGTGATCTATGCACATGGACACCGAGATCTTTCTGCTCATCCACACTACCAAGAATCTTACCATTAGCCCAGTACTCTGTATTCCTGTTATTCCTTCCAAAGTGAATCACCTCACACTTTTCCACATTAAACTCCATTTGCCACCTCTCAGCCCAGCTCTGCAGCTTATCT